GCCTTGTCTCTCTTGACATGCTTGGTGACCTCATTCGATATTAGGCCTTTACTATGATTAAGATGCCAGTGACTCCCAATGACTCTGCAAACTGGGCTTCTTTCTCAAGTTCAAAATCATATGTCTGACTCTTGTAGTCTCAACTAAGATATCTGATAGACATTGCAAACTCAATTCAATTGAACTCCTGGTTGCTCCAAATGTGATCTACCTGTACCTTCCTATCACTGTTGCTGGCAACTTCGTCTTTCCAGTGGTTCAGGCAAGAGCTTCAGAATCATCCGTGATTTTCTCTTTTACTTATACACCACATAGGAGGAAATCTTGTTGGCTCTATCTTTACAATATATTCAGAACTCAACCATGTCTGTCTCCTCTGCTGGGCCTGATCCAGAGTCACCAGTGTCTCTACCCAGGTTACTGCACCAGTGTCTCTACCCAGGTTACTGCACCAGTGTCTCTACCTAGGTTACTGCACCAGTGTCTCTACCTAGGTTACCACATTACTTCTCCTTGCGTCTTCATGTTTTGTTCTCACCACAGTAGTTAGAATAAGTCTTTCAACATAAAATTAGATCATTAGCACCTACAATCATCAAAGTTCTGCAACGACTTTCTGTCTTACTTGGAGTAAAACTTGATGTCCTTATAATGGATGATAATCTTTCATCAATCTGATCACTTTAAGCTTACCACTTGTTCCCTCTACTCCTAAAGTTTGTACATGCTGGGTACATCATTCCCCTGATATGGAACTCCCTATCCTTTTGCCTTAACTAACGTTGGCTCCTCTTTAATGTCCCAGCCCTGGAATCTACCATCTCCCTTCCTTGCTCTACTTTTTCTTTTTTAAGGTAAATATGGCAGACTCTATCATCCTAAGATTATATATTCTGGTATCTGCTGTTCTGTATCTGTATCTAGAATCTGAGAAATATTCCTTCTCATGAAGAAATGGAATCTAATCCCCTTCCTCACAGAAGGAGGACTGCTTTTCCGTGCTTATACCCAATGCAATGTGATATCAAAGTCTAGGTCATAAAAGTGATGCAGTTTTTACCTTGTTAGCTAGTAGGTTCACTGTTGGAGCGCTGGGCTACCATGTAAAAAGTCCAACTATTTTGAAATTACCATACTATAAGGAGTCCCAAGCCACTCAGGGGATGCTTGTAGATATTCTCATGGGAAATCTCCAATGAGACCTCAGGTACTGTCTGCATCAGTCATTAGACACGCTAATAAAGACAATATGGATGATTTCAGCTCCCAGCTTTAGAGCCTTCCCAGTCAAGACCATAGCACCACGGAGAAGGGACTGATTGTACCTCTTGTTCACTGTTCATATTCCTAATCCATAGAACCAATAACTTCAATAAACACATTGTTTTATGTTGCTCATATTTAAGGTACTTTGTTACACAGCAGCAGTTTATTTATTTCAAGCCTCTGTTTTCTACTTCTTTGACAAAATACAAGCATCAGGAGGGCATGAACCTTTGCTTTCCCTCACTGCTGTATCCTAAATACCTAGAATAGTCCTTGGCAATAGTAACTACTCAGTCAATATTTACTGAACTAATTGGTGAGTGACTGAGCAGTTAAACTGAATTTTAGAGGGCACAGCTTGCTAAAGCTAAGGCGGGTCCCTTAGATGTCAGCTTGTCAAGCCCACACATTGGCATGAAAACAAACACAGAGCAGAATAGGGTAGTGACAGGTGAGGGGAACACAGTAGGCTTGTGAGGACTGGAACTCTGGGGAGTCTTAGGTATACACTGAGTTTTCAAGGAGATCTGGAGTTCATGTTCAAGATGAAGATTCTAGATTCATAGGAACCTTTATGGTCAAATAAAAACAGTCATATTCTGTAAATGCGGACTTACACATTGTGGAAACTAGTGTATTTCAGACAACAATGTTTTATAATTAACCTCTGGTTAATCACAAAATGTTGTTAACTATAACCTAGGAATTCCAGCTAGCTGATTAAAATAATTTGAACTAATTGAGGGCAAGGCTGGCCTCATCAGAGAGATTCCTGGTGGAGGTCCAAATGGTAGAATAAGACACATTGTTTGATTTGCAGTAAAAGAGAGGTGTGTACTTTACTGGAAAGGTGTATAAATGTTCAAAGGCTGAGAACGTTAGAACGTTTGGAAGATGCCAACAAGTATAAAGAAATTTTTTGTTTTGGTCTTTTTGAGACAGGGTTTCCCTGTAGCCCCAGCTATCCTGGAACTCACTATGTAGACCAGGCTGGCCTTGAACTCACAGAGATCTGCCTGCCTCTGCCTTCCGAGTGCTGGGATTAAAGGCATGTGCCATCACGCCTGGCAATAAAGAGGAAATTTTAAATGTAACCAAACACACGAAGATGGATGCTATAAAATAAATAGTCTGGAAAGAAATGTCCCAAAACGGTCAATTGGATTCGTATTTCTGTTATTGAATTTTCCATGTCAAGTACTTAGCACAGATGTTTCTCAGCCTTTGAACATTTATACACCTTTCCAGTAAAGTACACACCTCCCTTGATTCTATTTATGCTTATCAAAGTATTATGATATTGAATGTGTCTTTACAAACATACTTTCCCCAGGATATTTACTCAACAAATACATCTTTATCCACGTGCATCAATACACACAAAGGACCACCTCCAAGGGTTTGGGACTATTCATCCCTTTAGGAAATAAAGCCCACAGGTGGGAGGTTATGAACTAATTTCCTGTAACTTTTATTCCAATATTTTTCTAAAATTTGTGGCCTTGTAATTGTCCTGGCATGGCAGGAAAGGAGAGAGTCTAAAGAGAGACACTTGTAGCCCTCCTTTCTGTGACCACATTATTGTAACAATAGACTCTGGTGAATTACAGTTCTACAGGAAAATTTCTCCAGGAATTAACAATTCTTCCATGGTAGGGGAAGTGGAAGGATGAGGCGCTCTTGCCAACCAGAGGAGGAACTTGCCTCTCAAGAATAGGTTTCATACAGTTCTGGCAATTTAAATTAACATATGCATATCTCCCGACTTTTATTTCATCTTTTCTATAAAATTGTATTAATGCAATAGAAAAGGCTAAAATAAGATTCTTTCTCTCCCTGGTTTGGCAAAATTGTAAACAAATCCATCTTCCCTTATCAATTTGTATTTTTTTTTTTTTGTCTTTTTTGAGACAGGGTCTCCCTGTAGCCCCAGCTGTCCTGGAACTCACTGTGTAGACCAGGCTGGCCTTGAACTCACAGAGAAATGCTGGGATTAAAGATGTGCACCACCATGCCCAGCTCTTGTATTCTAACTTTTTAAAAAAGAAGTAGAAGTTGAGGCTTTATGAACCTAACTGCTTCCTATAACAGACTCGGTATACAAAAAATGTTATTTTACTTAGACTATATTTGAAATTAACTGCTGGTTTTCCCTAGCTGATAATTACATCCATTGGCATAAACATTTTCGTTCTCATAAATGTGTCAAATTTGTCTCTTGCTACCATGTTTTATACTCTGGTAAAGCTTTAGGACCATACAGGTCCTTAGAAACCATCTTATCTACACTCTTCAACTCAAAAAGAATTTCAAAACTCAGAAAAATGATATGCTAAGATCACACACTTTATGGCATTGGAACCCAGCTATCTGGACCCCAAGTTTAACATGATTTCGTGTCCTCCCATGACTTCAGAACTATTACTTTGTAGGTGCTTTCTAGGGTTATAGTCTTAGAGATACACTTAGCCTGACTGAGTTAGTTATCAAGAATTCTAATTGTGTGGACTATGAGCCCATGAGACGTCACTGCATATAGTGGAGCTGAACGACATATCTGGGGCACTGCTGCACGTGAAAGGAAGAAGGAAAGAGAGAGGGAAAGAAAAAGAAGAGAGGAACAAAGGAACGAAGGAAGGAAGGGCAGAGTTAAGGCAGGCAGGCAGGAGGGAGCCCCGTGCCCATCACTTAGAACATTGTACACAGAAGATAACACTGAAGAGAAACTTGAGGAAGGAAGGAGGAGCAGGAAAGGAAAGAAAAAATGAAGAAAGTTGCTTGCAGCTGGACTCTATCTGGGCCAAGAAAGTTTCAAAATTCCTTTGCAGGAGGTTAGCTGATCTTTGGTCCAGGAAAACATCTTAATGTAAGTTTCTCTCTCATTTTATTGTATTTTTTATTTAGAAAAGGTGAGGTTTGGCGGTTAAGATTTGAAACAAAAGGAGTTAGAAGAAAGCAAAAGGCTAAATTGTTCTGCATAACAGAGCAAATTGAATATGGGAATCATTTCCTGGATGCTGGGGTTGGTGCTTGATGATACTAAAGAGAACTTTGGACAGGGGAGAGGATAGAGACCTGTCAGGAAACTAGACTCTGAGGAGGACTTGCCAGCAATGTGGGTGGTTAGGAACTTCTATGAACAACAATATAGAGTTCAGGCACTTGCCACACTTTGCTACAATCTTCCTTATTCACCGAGTTGCTGCAATAGCTACTGGAGGCACACATATCTTTTGTGCTAAAGATGCTTTGGGTATGAGAGAAAGGGATGGAAAGGGATGCTCAATGCAGGAGTGGGAGGAGGAACATGGAGAGAGGGGAAGCAGTCACAGGACTGAATTGCCTTGGTGGAGCTCAGGGAGAACAGCACAGAAGCATGAACACGGGGCAAGAGGTGAGCAGGAAGAAGCAGGCAAACCAGAAACCTTGGCAGGGAAGGCGAGCTGGCTCTTCTGCAGCATGTGGGAAGAAGGCTTGAGCCATTTTATCTTCCCACTAAAGGAACGTGTACCTCCAAAGTGTAGATATGTTGGAGCATGATGCTTGTCAAATTTAAGGTCTAGGTTCTGGTTAAAATGTAAGCTCTGACTCAGTGGGTCCAATGGGGTATGTCCCCCATACCCCAGGCACTGCTGTCATTCATGGTCAGTGATTACACGTGCAGCAGCAAGGTTTTAGCCAGCCAAAGGTGCCTGTGAGCTGCTGGGGAATCCTCCCACAGGCTGGTCTCTTACCTCGTATTCTTCCTTGAACCCGTAGCCCTGGCCTCTCTTCATCTGGGTGATGTGCTGAAGCAGGTCTGCCACCCGGATGGCAGGCTGGAATTGGTCCCGGGGATAGCTCATCTCCACAGGTTCGAAAGTCCGGTAGGGGTGAGTCTGGATGGTGAGGGTGGGCTGGGACAGCTCCCCGCGGCTGCCATCTGCTTCAAAGCAAAGAAGAAGGTGAAACTATCACTTTGGGAACTTGGTTCTTTGCCTTGCCATCCCTCAGTGTGGCCTGAGGAGGGCAGAAGGAAGTAACTGGGTATTCTACTGATCAAGCAAAGACTGGAGAAACTGCTTGTCTGTGTGGAGAGAGTGAAATTGTGAAATAACCACCCAATGCATACAATAATCCTTGGTTCACTTCAAGGGCTCATTACTGATGTGTGAAGGCAACGTGGCAGCTTAGTTACCATCCCTTGCCTCTCCCCAGGCATTTGTTGAATGCTTTGGTCAATACCAGCCAATCCCAGAACCAGTAAGAAGCAGAAAGACTAACTCTTCCATCACCCTCCTGTTTAAGAAGCAGTCTAGATATGGTCTCCGCTGCTTGTGTGCGGGTGAGGACAGTCTCAGGTGACTCAAAACCACTACTCTGCTTCTGGGCCATTGCCTGCATGCCTGTAAGGGAATTTCTCTACTAGTTTGTTTCCTCTGAGTTGACAGGAACCAGAGCTAATCTTGGACTCCCAACAGGTAGCAGGAGCTCCAGTTGCTCGCTCTAGCAACAGTGGCCTTTCTTCCTATCATTTATTTTTCCCCTTGCTACCGTGGACCCTGAAGTGTCCCTGAACCCAACCTGCAGATTTTCCTGAACTTTTCCCTACAGTTCACCAGGCATTGCTCCCATGTTTGAATCCTACATTTATTCCCTTGATGTGGGACCAAGGACATACCCCAGTTGGCAGAATGTGTGTTTACCACGCACAAGTCCTGGGTTTGAACCCCAGCACCACATTATACCTGGCACAGGATTGCTATCCCAGCACCCAGAAGGTGGAGGCAAGAGGATCAGAAGTTCAAGGTCATCCTTGACTACATAGCAAGTTCCAGGCCAGTCTGGGTTACAGGAGACCCTCCCTGTCTGAAACAAACAGAAAAGAAACAGGACTTAAGCCCCCATTTTGGTCAACTCAGCTACTTTAGGACCTTCTGTTGGTTTGGTCACTCTGGAAACAACTGATCATCCCCAGAACCATCTAGGCTTGCCACACCCACTTCCTTTCAAATACTCTGACAGTCTCTGCCCTAGGGTCATTCAGTTTGAACTATGCAAGAGATAAGAACTGCCAGATGTGGCAGCCATGTGTCTTACCCAGATGTTTTCAGACACTGGGGCACACATGCAGACATCCCGAAAGCCTGTGCCTTGCTCTTTCCCTGAGAGGCTTGTCTTTTCAAAACCTATATCCCCTGGGTTTGTTTGCCTTTCCTGTCACAAATAATTCATCAGACGCTATGGGGAAGCAGACTCTACCCCTAAGTGCCAACACCAAAGCTATTCCTCACAACGGACAGGATACTGGAGGGGAACATCTGACCTGTAGGATGACCTTGCTTGCCTTACCTTCTTTGGCTTTGAGTATTCAAAGTCTAGTTTAGCATCCAGTGAGATCCTTGGTTCTGGGCCAGTGAGAGTCTTGCCCACCCCCATGGTTTTACCTGTGTCATGAGCAGAGTCAGGGATACATTTCTCACATTGCTGTCTTTCTGCTTGACCCCACCTGTTACCTCCTCCATGGGAGGATGAGCTATGAATTTGATTGACCTGAGTTTGAGACACTGATTGCATCATACCTAATTAGGTGAGATCGCTGTGTGAAGCGTGGTTTCAATATGTCCTACTTCAATGTAGTGAGTAAACATAACCAAGGTAGAGTTGGCCTTTTGGGATCAGCCCAATCACACAACAGAAGGATCTTGAGGATACAAATTTACACCTATGTGAGGTGCTAGCAAAACCTTCTTGGTTGCACTTAGAAAAAAAAACCACTGCTTACTTTTTCTCCTGAGATATTAGGTAATAAGTTGATACTCCTTTACTGGTATTAATGTAATGCCTGGCACATATTGGGATTGTATCCCTACTTTGTCATACCCTTGTAATCATGAGTTAGAATTACGAGAACCCCTTCTACGCCAAGGACTTTTCTGGGCAGAGGCAATGTGAAAATAAATATAGTCTACTCTTGAAACTTGATGGTCTGAAATGGAAAATAGGTAAGAGCCACCTGAAGCAAAAAGTTCACATCCTAGAGGTGAAAGTGCGTTTAGGTAGGAGTAGAGGCTGATAGGAAAGCTGTGGGGCAACACTACAGAGAGTAAGGGAGGCAGAGCCAGAAGGGCGGTGAACGGGAGGACTCCTGAAACCAGTATGAAGCTGTGGAAGGCTTTGCAGAAGAATCCCTTTCTTTAAATACTCACACTTTCCTGTAGGTGTCCTGGCTGTCAGGGATTGGAGGGCCCCTTCCAGTGCATGACTCATGTGATGGTGTGATGAGACTCGAGATGGAGAAGGGAAATTTGAGTGTGAATTTCTAGATGCCACATTTCATGACTCCTAGGAGAGGTTACATTAGAGCCAATGCCTAGAATCCTGTGTTTCCCATTGAAACAAAGTCACACAGACATCACAGAGACACACACATCCTGCCCCTAACTCTTCCAAAGAACCTGGGTCACAGGCTCCATGGGAGACTAGCTGTCTGGTAGAGAGGCAGGCTTCCTAGGAGTGGGCACCTGGCAAATTTTTTGTGAGATGCCAAATGTTTCCAAACCAAAACAGCTATCAATATGGATATTTCCCCCTAAACACATTGCTAGACAGACTGTAAACTTGGTGTCAGCAAAACCAACACTGGAATGGGAAATAGACGCCTTTGAAATTTAACAACTCGTATTGCTGTAACATTTGTAATAATGTCAATGCCGGTGCTAATGACACTACAAAGACTTGGAACCAAGGGATTTTCAAGGTTTATTAATTCAACTAGTTGGACTCCCTTTTCCAATGTATCTTAAGCTCACCTGTTCCCTTATTAACCTCCGATAATGCAGAAGTGATGCCTTTTATCACACCCCATTTCACCAGACGCACTATACTTAATTTTCCATCATTAGGTTTAATGAAAACCCAATTTCACAACTCACTTCTCTCAGGAACCTACAAGTAATGCTACGTTTTTATCAGCCCCAATTAAAAAACGTTATGATGTTCCTATTCGAGAGGGAGCCTTAAAACTAATGTGCGATTCTGCTGCTAATTCAACAAGGGCGCTGGAATTCACAAGCTGCTCATAAAACGTAACTCAAACCAGCTGGCCCAGGGAGAGGACATTTTTCATTTTTCCTCCTCATCAGACCTTTAGTTGTCTTGCTTTCCACTCCGAGGTCTTGTATGTTTACTTATCAGGTAATAATATTTTGGATTTCTTTTGTACTTTTTATGTAGCTTCTGCCTAAGCCTGTGAATTGCCGTGCAGGAACTCTTGTCAAGGTCTGCATGGAACATGTGGGATGGGTTCAGGGATTTGGGTGACACCTATGGGATCTGGGGCCTATCACCATCTCTCTGATTTCCACTCTTCTTTCTCTCTGCTAACTCCTCGTCCTTCTTCTGACACATTCCCTCCCTTTAGTCCCCTCTCTCTTTTTTTATTCTTCTGCTTCCAGCCCCCTAGGTTTCCTGGCAGCTCCCACTACATAATTCCCATCACTTGATAGGAACTGCCACTTGAACTAGTTCACAAATGCTTTCCTAGGCTCCTGTCTTGTACAGAGCACCATGTTAGCTACTGTATGCACACAGGCAGGGGGAGGAAGGTGTGTTGCAGTAGAGATAAGCTCACCAAAGCCCTTGGAGGAAGTGAGAAGAAAAAGAAGATAAGTTGTACATAAACAATTCTAACAAAGAGGAAGGGACAGGAACCTAGGAGACTGAAGGATGATGTGCTGCAGGGTTGGGAGCCATGGAAACCCGCTTCATCCTTCACAATTCACCGTTGTGGCTCTTGCCATCTCTATGTACAATCTATGTTGCCTGATAGAACATTCTGTGACAATAGAAAGAGTCTCCATCTGTGCCTTGAAAATACTGCAGCCGTTAACTCTATGTGGCTACCGAGCATGTGAACTGTGGTTAATGTGACAGAAGAACTGTTTTTAATTTTGTTTAGTTTTAATTAATTATTCTTGAAATGCCCGTATGTGGGAACTGGGGGAGATGGCCCACTCAGTAAAATGCTTGCTGCACAAGCATGAGGTCCTAGGTTTGATCCCCCAGAATCCATGTAAAAGATCCAGGCAAGGTGGCATGTATTTTAATCCCTGTACTGGGGAGGTGGAGATGACTGGGGCTTGCTGGCCAGCCAGTCTAGTCAAATTGGTGAGCTCCAGGTTCAGTGACAGAGGTGGGCTCAAAGCATAAGGTGGGAAGTGATAGAGGAAGACACCTGATGCCGATTCCCAGCCGCTATATGCACACGTGTATACATAAATAGGTACACACACACTTGCACACATGTGGTGTGTGAGTACTTATTGGACAGCAAAGATCTAGAGAAAGAGACAGAAAGGGATTGAGCTCTGGAGCCACAAAGAAGAGTGATAGGATCCGTGGCAGACTGTGTAGTGGAGATACAATGCAAGCCATGTATGCAATTTAAAATGTTCTTACAGCAATGTCAAGTAAGGTTTAAAAAATGAACATGCATAATTAATTTCAACAGTACATTTTATTTAACTGGACATATCTGAAGTAGTGTTTCAATATATACTTGGGAAAAACTACTACTGATCTATGTTGTATTCTTTATTTATAGAAAGGCTTTGAAATCCAATGTCTATTTTATACTTCTAGAGTATTTCCACTCAAACTAGTCATATTTCCAGGGCCTACCAGACACTGGTGACTAATGGTTATACTATTGGACAAGGCAAGGGCACACAGACTTATCCAGAGCCAGATAAAGTTCTAAAGAGAGCTTATTTAGAGCTTGAGTGAACTCTAAATAAAAAGGTACTGGTCTAGGTTAAGACAGCTCTAGCCCGAACACTGTGCAATAAAACTTTGTACAATGACAGAATGGTTCTACGTTTTTACCATGGAGTATGGTAGCCACTTGCCATACTGAATTAAATACTTAAAATGTGGTTAATG